CTTGTCCTGACAGGATCATGCTCTATCAATGGTTTAGAGCAGGGATGGGGAACATCAGGCCTGGGGGCTGGATGCGGCCTGCGGCTTACCTGGATCTGGCCTCCAAGGCTCAGGGCTTCTCCCATAGCATTGGGGAGTGCACTCCTACTGAGGGACTGGAGCACACAAAATCTACTAGCCTGGACCCCATTAGGCTCTAGTGTGTGAGTGGAATGTGGGGAGTGTCTTTCTCCTTCTCAGTCAGAGGCCATCTCATGGGTTTAGGGTTTTTTGGAGGTTTTTTTGGTTTCTCACTTGTATGCTGCCCCCCAACTGACTTTTCCTTGAGTCAGTGGCCCCTGACCCAAAAAAGGTTCCACCCTTGGTTAATCACAGATGAGAATGTTAAGAACAAACTAGGAACATGTAACATTGATTCTTCAATTCTTTCTTGTTTTTTTATCTATTAGCACTAACAGGTCGTGGGGTTACTGCACTTTTTTATACAGATGCACCTGCATAAATGTCAAGCCATTCCTTTTGCCACCCTAACACAGGTGCCCTTGCACAGAATATGGCGTTTAGTATTCTAAGATAGGATTAAATTTGAATGTCTTAACTAGAGGCCTACTATCTTTGGGGAAACAGGGCAAGGGCTTGGAGCTTTTAAATCACTGCCAGAGCCCTGGTGGTGGTAAGGGCTGGCAAAGGGGAACACAGTCCAGGCAGTGCTGAGGGCTGGCAGCCTCAGTCCTGCCCCTTCTGCTCGAGGCCCCACCCCTTCCAGGAGTGCAGAGCTGAGGCTCCCCCACTTTGCCTAGGGGCTCGGTAATTCTGTCAGCCTCGTTGCTTACCTCTACTGTATGAAGTTGACTGGCATCCTAATGCTGTGGGTTTTGTGAGTATGATTATTGAGTCTTTATTGAGTATTGTTGTATTAACCCTTTTTTTCATGGAATGTTGCTGCTTTTCCAGAAGCACCATGTTTTCGGTTTCATATAGCAAAGTCACCACATGGGCTAAAAACAAATATAACAAATTTCATCTTACATGGTGATTTTTCTCAGAATGTTTCAAAGCTTCACGTCACTCACATTCTAGCTTTATAACATTTGCAGTTACTTTCTCTGCCGATGTATGATTGAGTTATATCATTGAGGAGGAGTTTCTATAAGGAAAGTGTGAGGAAAATAATGTCCAGTTCTTCTTACTTATCCTGGGCTGCAGTAAAACAATCTGGGAATCACATTCCTGTTAGTAGTAATGCCTGATTCTGGCGCTGCACGTATCAGAAACTATTTTAGTACCTGGTAGGTAAGTTCCACTTGTGTGTGAAGAGAAACAGCTGTAATTCTGTCTCTCTCACACTTTCAGCTGTGTACTCTTTCTTGTTAACTTATCTGTTTATAATAGAGTACAACGGGCTGTGAGTTGTAAGACAGAACTTGAATTTATTCTTGCAAAAATACATGCATTTCATGTTTGTATATTAAATCTGTGTTGCTTGTATTGTAGCGTCCGGATGGTGGTAGAGCCACATCAAACAGTCCAGTGGAAAGGCATAATTCTGATCAGGAGGAAGCAGAAATTACTACTCAGGTGAGCTGGCTCAAAAATCACACAAGCATGTCAGTAAAAGGAAAACAAATTAACGGAGAAAGGAATGCTAACAGCCAAGATTACCAGTAAACTGTTGGTGTGTATTATTCAGTCCCTGGGCCAGAGGTGCACATTGGTGACACCTGTGCAGAAAATGTCAGGCTTGCATTCTAAAGCTCAGTAGTCTCTCATGTGACTGTGATGGATAGGATGTTTTTTCACCTTGTTTCATGTCTGGGGAGGGAAAGGTGTTGGAGAGTTGCAGAGCATAGTAATCCCTTGGAGGGAGGATGAGAGCGCCATTCTTTATTTTCTTTTTGGATGTTGTCCCTTTTAATGAGTGGATTTTTCAAGTATGGGACTTTTTTCATGTTGTTGTGGGGCAGGGAGGGAGATGGACAGATAGATCTTGGACGCATTGGTGTCTGGCCGGGGGGAGGATGCAGGAGCAGGCTGGGGGTAGGAGTAGGTTTTGGGGGGAGGGGGTCTCACCAGGGAGGGTGCATTGGGGGTGATGGTGCAGGGTTTGGGCATGAGGGGAAGGGAGCCCTCCTCCCCCCCCGCCCTGCTCCCAGGCCCGGTCTCCCACTGCTCCCATTGGCTGAAGCAGCGAGGAAAGCCTCCAGGCAGCACATCCCGTGTGCTGCTGTTCCCCCCTCGTTGAGGGAAGGGAAGCGGCAGCACACAGAGCCACTTCTGACTCCACTTCTTCCCCATGAGCTGGATCCTTGAGGAGCCTTGGGCTTTCTTCCCCTCCTACCCCCCAAGCGGGAAGCTAGTGCTGGCGCTCCATCCCCGGGGGCGGAGAGGGGAGGCTGGAGTGCCTTCATGGGCTCCCTGCTGCAGGAGGAGGGAGGGCTGAGCTTGAGCTGTGGCCCACTTGCAAGGTGGCCATGGCCCACAGTTTGAAAACCACTGACTTAGGGAAACCTTCTCATATTTGTTTAGGAATTACTCTGATTTCTTTTGGGATGTTCGTATTGTCATCTCCTGATACAGAACATCGCAAGAACAAATTTATTCTTGCTTTGATTGAGTTGAGTTGAACTTGAACCTTTTCATTTTCTGTACTGAAGTTCTGGATCTTTGTGTGGAGATCTGCTGTTGTGCTAAATCACCGGAAAAGCTTTAGAAGTGGAAAATATAGGTGCAGTACTTTCAAAGTTTTTTATTTTAAAATAATTAACAAAACCCCAATTAAAGCACTTTAATCTGATCCCATTGACCTGAGAGAGGATGTGCTGGCTAACTTTCAATAATAGGCTAGGGATAATGATCAAGGGATCTTTTTCTCCCATAAGTGACTGGATGTGAATTTCATCTCAGGTCTCTTACCAGTGATGACTGTAGGGTCATGGGAAGTGAGTTGGAAGTGTCCATTCTGTTCCTGCTGGTCAGGCAACCATCATGTGGAATGGGCTCTTAACTGTCTTATCTGAGGCCCAAAACAGTAAATTAGCCATGGAGATGGCATTGCCCTCTCAGCTTTCATGTGTGTGCCATTAGGTCAAGCTTGAATCATATTTCAGTAGTGTGAAGGAAGCTTGCAGTGCTGCTACTCAGCCTGTATCTGTTCGTGCTTACAGAGAAGTTAGTCACAAGGGCCTTTCACATGAGTTCAATCTCATTAGGACAGGAAGTAATGAGCTTAATCTGGGGAAGGAAGATTTTAGAAAAAACTTTTTATACTTATCTGGAGATATACCTATTTCATAGGACTGGAAGGGACCTTGAGAGGTCATTGAGTCCAGTCCCCTGCCCTTATGGCAGGACCAAGTATCATCCCTGACCCATTTGCCCCAAATCCCTAAATAGCCCCCTCTATTTAGTTTAAAAACACGGGTGCAAGCAGCTGCTATCTGCGGAGGGCCCGAGCTCTCCACGGACAGGGGCTGTGCCGACATCCCACCTGCCCCCCAGCCTTCTGCTGCCTCTTTGGGAGGCAGCAAGGGGGGTGCAGGAGTGGCTGGGCAGAGACATGGCTTAAAAGCCCCCCCCCCCACACACACATACTGGTGCCTCTGATACAAAGTCAGCAAGTGGGGGGAGTGCATGTAGTTGTTAAGATTAACCAATAAGCCTGGGAACATAAAAAGCTCTAGGGATGGAGATTCCACCCCCTCCCTAGGTAACCCATTCCAATGCTTCACCACCTTCTTAGGGAAATAGTTTTTCCTAATATCCAACCTAGACCTTCCCCACTGCAATTTCAGACCCATTGCTCCTCCTTCTGCCATCTGTCACTACTTAGAACAGCCTCTTTCCAGCCGCTTTGGAACCTCCCTTCAGGAAGTTGAAGGCTGCTATCAAATGCCCCCTCACTCTTCTCTTCTGCAGACTAAATAAGCCCAAATCCCTCAGCCTGTCATTGTAAGTCATGTGGTCCAGCCCCCTAATCATTTTTGGTTGCCCTCCACTGGACTTTCTCCAATATGTCCACATGCTTTCTGTAATGGGGGGCTAAGAACTGGACACACTACTCCAGATGTGGCCTCACCGTGCTAAATAAAGGGAAATAATCACCTATCTAGATCTGTTGGCAATGCTCCTCCTAATGCAGCCCAACATGCCTTTAGCCTTCTTGGCTTCAAGAACACAGTGTGGACTCATATCCAGTTTCTCATCCACTGTTTTACCCAGGTCTTTCTCTTCAGAACAGCTGCCTAGCCACTCAATCCCCAGCCTGTAACAATGCTTGGGACTTTCCTGTCCCAAGTGCAAGACTCTGCACTTGTTTTTGTTGAACCTCATCAGATTTCTTTTGGCCCAGTCGTCCAATTTGTCTAGATCATTCTGGATCCTATCCCTGCCCTCCAACATATCTACCTCTCCCGCTAACTTAGTGTAATCCGCAAACTTGTTGAGCGTGCAATCTATCCCCTCAGCCAGGTCATTAATAAAGATGTTGAACAAAACTGGCCCCAGAACCGATCCTTGGGGCACTCCACTTGAAGCCGAACGCCAGCCAGACATGGAGCTGTTAATCACTACCCGTTGAGCCCAACAGTCTAGCCAGCTTTCTATCCACCTTGCAGTCCATTTATCCAATCCATATTGTCTTAATTTGCTGGCAAGAATACTGCGGGAGACTGTATCATGTTGCTTGCTCTCATACTATAATGGCTGAGATTTTAATTAGGTTACATGAGCTAGCTGTTGATGTTTCATGTTTGTGCCTCTGTTGTGTTGCTCATTATTATTAAAAGCATTTTGGTGGTATGAAAAATGTTGGGGTTGAATTTACTATATTTTAAGGCTTGATCCTGCAAGCGTGTACCGGCTCCTGCGGAGCAGCCTCCCTCCCCTCCCTCGTCCCTGCACTGATGTCTCTGTATCTAATAGCGCTGAGGTTAGGCTGTTGATTATTGTTCTGATGTAGAAAGCCCCATGTTTTTTTGCTTTCCTATCATTATCCTAGACTGAAAGAGCGCCACTTGAACTCAGTTCAAGGCTGGAAGAAATGGAGTTCAGTGAAATGGAAGCAGAGCCCAGTGAGACAGAAGATTTTGAGGCCCGAGGAAGTCGCTTCTCCAAGTCCGCTGATGAAAGGCAGCGTATGTTAGTTCAGCGGAAGGAAGACCTGCTGCAGCAAGCTCGCAAGTATGCTCACTGCCCGACACACAGTACTGTCTCATTAATTAGCCTAGCCAGGTCAAGTGCAGTTTGTGTAGATTGTAATTAGAGATGTTAAATAGCGGTTAGAAAGCTATTAGTTGATAAGGGGGTTCGCTGCAGCTCTGCTTTTTAAATGTAGTAAGAGCCGCTAGGTGTATAAAAGGCCTGTCTAGGACCAGGCGCGATCCAGGAGAGCTGAGTCCTGTCTTGCGCCCGGTCCCAGATGTTGCACGTCTGCTTTCTAAATGTAATAAGAGCCGCCAGGCTCTTTACTACATTTAAAAAGCAGAGACGCAGCGTCTCCCGGCTTGTGCCGGGTCCCCCACTGTGCCTCTGCCTTCCCATCTCCCCCACCATGGAGACTTTTAAGCCAGCTCCCGCCAGCACCAGTTCCTGCTCTCCCATTGCTGCCTCTGTATCAGAGGCAGCAAGGGGCGGGGGAGTGACTAGTAAAGTAGCAACTCAATTACGTGACACGCTTGGGCTTATTGGGTAGTCGACTAACTGTAATCATTGACTTTTTTATTTATGCGTTCATGCAAAATGCAGTGAGAGCAATAGCTGTGTGTGCTCCTGCGGGATCAGGATTCTGTCTAATTCAGCACCATTATCAAGGACACCATTGGGAAGTGATGACTTAAGTCCATTTCTCAACAGGATGTGAATATAAATTCCTAACCTAGGGCCTTATCTGGAGCCCATTGAAATCATGGACTGACTCTCAGTGACTTTAGTGGGCTTTGTATTAGAACTTAATGGAGAAAAGAACCAGTAGTGTTTACAAGTCTACCTCTCATAAACCATCATCTTACCTCCGAGCAGAGGCTGCTGAGGCTGGGTCTGCGCTACATAGATTACTAAGGCTGACACCGCAGGGCAAACACAATTATTTTCAAGTGTTGAGCAAGTTTTTGTGTCTGCTTAAGTTCCAAGTGACATATATCTGTAATGGTACACAGGACTGACAGTGCAACCCAATCCCCTCCCCCCCCCCAAAGTATAGTCATGAATTAAAAACCTGCTGCTAATAAATGCAGTGTTTGCTTTTTTCGTTTTTACAAATTCTGGTCACATCAGTGAATCTTGATAAACTCTGATAAATGACATTTGAACATCATTTGTAAATGCACACAAATGCCCAGTGAGAGAGAAACCACTAAGTACCATACAATGGGATTTTTTTGTATTGTTTACATCATTTCTATTGAACAGGTTTCTGTGCCAACCTTTTAAACGCAAAACATTAAAGGAGCCTGTTTGAAGGTGCAGGCCCTTTTTGTCAGCAATCCCCTTTGTGTTTTTTAAATACCTCCTTTTGTGTTCAAATGGAACCTAAGATGAAAACTTATGGATGCATTTTAAGACTCTCTTGAGAAATCTGTCCTCAAATATACCTGCCCTCAGACAAATCTTCCTTCAAATCCTATCTTTTGTTCAAAGAAACACATTTATTTTTTCTTTCCAATTTAAATCTATTAGTTCATTTTATGTACAGGCAGTCCCCGACTTACGCGGATCCGACTTATGTCGGATCCGCAGTTACGAACGGGGCTCGCCCCGGAGGACACGGACTGCGGGACCTCGCGGTCCTGCTGCCCGTGTACTCCGGGGCTTTCTCCGCGTCTCCCTGGGCTGCCCCGCTGCCCGGCTTTGCAGAGGCCTGGGGGAAGCCGGCAGCGGGAAAGCCCAGACGCCCCACGGCTGTCCCGCTGCTGGCGTCCTAAGACGCTTTGCTCCCCATTTAGGCTTTGCTCCCTCATTTAGTTTCTCTGCTATGACTTTATCATCTTTGAGTGCTCCTTTAGCATCTCAATTGTCTAAGGGCCCCATTGGTTGTTTAGTTGCCTTCCCGCTTCTGATGTACTTAAAAAACATTTTACTATTACTTTTTGGTAACTATTACTAAAGCATTTTATGAAAAGGGACATGAAGTGAGAGTGAGATTAAATAATTTGCCCAAAACCAAACATTGAACTGATATAAGATATTGGAATAGAATCTGGATCTTTAGACTTCTTGTTCTGTGTTTTAACCACAGGAAACTTCGCAAAGTTTATACTAGGTGCTATTTAATTATATAAAAAGCATGGTAGATAATCTAGTCTTCTTTCTGATAAGCATAGAGAGAGTCTGAGTTCATGCTGCTTCGGGATCTGCAGATGATGCATTTTCCCACCTTCCCTAACCCTAAATTCTCCTTTGCTTTTTGAATGGTGAACCTTGAATGACTGTTTTTCAGGAGCCAAAATGAGCCAGTCTGCTATTTTCACCCATTATTTCCCTTTATGCTTGTAGGCGTTATTTAACCAAAACCTCCGATGAGGACTCCACCTCTGAGAGCCCCTTTCTGTCTGAGGGTGCTGCTTCAGACCCTGTCACCGTGCGCCGCAGAATGTTAGCCGCTGCTGCCGAACGGAGACTGCAGATGCAACAGACCTCTTAGTGCTCTCTGCTGCCGCCACCGTCTCCTCATGAGCAATGTTAAAAATAAATAAATAAATAAACAAACCCTGCACTCTTCGTACCAGCAGGAAGTCTCTCTTCTGAGCTCCACTAGCTGTGCTGATGAGTGAGCTGGCTGCGTCTCTGCTGTATAAAGCATGTGGTCTAATAGTGTTTGGACAGCTGACAGATTAACCTTTCTTTTGGTAATATTTTCTGTGTGACACTTATCCCCTTCACAAACAAATGCTGTTTTTAAACCTTGGATGCGATTTCTGCTGCCTGCAGCAGAGGCAAGGGAAAGACTCCATCTTAGATTAACAGCTGTTTGCATAGATCATTGAAGGTGCTTGCGTGTTTAGATTGAGATCATCCAAGGGGAGTATTAGAAGGAGCTGAAGTGTTGAAATTCACAATGAACCCCATCTTGTCAGCAGTCATGGCCAAGTTACTATACATCTCAAGGGTGAATTACACGTGACAGAGGCCTGCTTGGACATGGATAAATGCTGGCGTGTGGGAGCAGTGCAGCCCAGTGTGTTGCTGGGAAATGAATTCTTGGGGGGGTGGTAACCACTGTCTAGCTACACAACTTAAAAGTGAAGCAAGGGTTGTACGGTGAGGTGCTAACTCACATTGGTCTCAGTAAAACAATTTCTTTGACCTTTTCTGAGCTGCTTCTCACTTCTGATTTCTAGCTCAGCTCACTCACCGGGATTGTTATTTTTCTATGCATTGCATTGCCAGCAGCAGGTGGGCAACTGAAAAGAATAAAGGTAAAAAAAGGGTGCATGAGACAAATACATTTGACATTGGAATTCAGTGTTACAATATGCTGATGGAACATTGTTGAAACCTATGAGTTTGGTCTTTCATGGGACATGCAAAGAAGCATGGATGGATGGGATTTTATTGAAGAGACAAGCAATAGCTTACAGTATCTTGCTTATTATTTTTTTAACTTTGTATTGTGTAGTAATACACCCATACACAAGAAGAATCAAGGCTGCTGGATTTTAGGTTAGCTGTGAATAAATCCCCTAATTCTCCTCCAAAACTTTTAAAGATTTTTTTACTTTAGACACACTTGAAACCTACAATCCTAGGTTAGTTAGCTGAGTTTTACATGGCAGTGGCTTTTAAACATTTTGAGGAGTGTCTTCTGGTATCACTGTCGTTGGGAAGGAGCTCAGTATTATCAAGAATTATTGGTAATTTTATGTGAATTTAATGAAAGGATGACTCTCAGAAATGTTTTGGTGAAGATAATTTATTTTAATAAATCTCTTTTGAATGCCTTACTTTACAATGCTGTTAGTAAACTTTAAAATATAAGTGTGTAAGAGAGATTTGGTTTTGCTCAGAGCACAGCTGTTTGTTATTGTTTAAAAAAATTAAAAAAACACAAACCTTTTAATCAGTGTTGGTAATTATCCTGAATTTCTTTAACGTAACTTTCCTTATGCTCAGTGCATCACTGTTATGCAGGTGACTCAGTTTAGGTCTTATGGAGTAGGTCTTCTCCTATGTTAAAAGGAGAGGGAACCTATTTGCTTAAATGGGCTTTTGGAGATTTTGTTTTTATTACTTTAGTTGTGCAGCAGCTGTTGCTACGGGAACCCATGAGTTCTACAAAGGTGAAAGTAACGGAGGATTTGAGCGCTGTCCAGGTTGGTTCCACAGAATGCAGCTTTTGAACTCTGTTAGTCTGGGCTAAATTAAATGCTATTTTGTATTTGAAAGTTTGATGTCGTTTTTCTCAAATGGTGGCGATTCCCAGGTTGAAATTGACACAAGTCAGGTGCAAGAAAATCTCAGGCTCTTCAGTGTTCCATTGCAAGCAGATATGAGCGAAAGGGAGATGGCTAGAACTCCTCCTCTCTGCCTCCATGGCCTTTGGGAAAGTGGAGTTCCTTGTAACAGACAGATGGGTTCCTATCTCTGCTGTAAGTCTATAGAGACATTGTCATCTGATTGATTGCATGTCCCCATTCCTCTGCCTCGCAGGAGGAGGAGAGTCCGTCTGGACGGCTTCCTGTACCGAGGACCATGCTCCTTACTGCTCTGCACACTAAGAGCTGGGAGCACTACTGCAGAGTCCATCCCTTATTTCTTAACCATCTGGGGAGCTGCTGCTCCCTGACAGCTCTGCACCAGCCTGCCAATTGCCCAGTTGTGCTGCTCTGTACAGTCTATATCCTGCTCTACAGCTACGTCATCGCATTCACTGGAAGTCGGGTGGGCCTTGCTGGCCTGGAACCTGTGCTAGGCAAATCTTCCTGCTGGTTCAGGGGGCACAGACCGTGAGCGAAATACGCCAGCCTCATACTCTGCCTCTACCAACTGCTGACGAGAAAGTAGTAGGAGAGTTTATGGGCCTGCCAAAAGTGAGCCCTGAGAGAGTGGCCCTTCTTGCAGGCCAGAAGGTTTGGTTGCTGTGGCCCTGCACTGGGTAGTGGTTAATTGCCTTGGTGGACACGGGAAGCATTGTCTAATCCAAAGCAGGGGACTAGCAATCCTAACAGTTTCTTGCCTAAAGCAGCAATTGAAGGCTGATTGTTTGCTACAATGTGTATGTGACGTTGTACTTCATACTTCAGTAAGATCTTGAGTAGATCTCAGTGTGCTCTGCCAGGAAGGCCATTAACCCTGTTGTGTTTAGTTTTGGTTATGGTCTTGGAATGAGCCTGCCTGTGCACGTAGCTGTATCTATGGCACCTTATAGACTAACATGCATCTGACGAAGTGGGTCTTTGCCCACGAAAGCTTATGCTCCGATAAATCTGTTAGTCTATACACAGGACTCCTCGTGTTTTTTTTCCCCAGATTCAGACTAACACAGCTGCCCCTTTGATAGCTGTATCCCGTAGATCAGTAACAGCTGTGGAACATTTACACTCACACACTAGATAGCCAAGTTTTAGACTCACATTATCAGGGTCCTTCTCCTGCCCCACGTTTACCAGTGGTTTGTCCAGCCTACTTCTAGATATGAGAAGCTGTAGTACTCTTCCACCACATCCCTTGTGCAGTCATGTGGATCTCCCTGGCAAGAAGCATTCCTGTGAGGCCATCAGTAATTATTTGCCTTGTAGGTTGGCAAACTGACTGAGCACACAAACCCCTATGTCAGCCAGTTACGTTCTCTGCCATGGGGAATCTCTTGCAATCACAGGACAGTGGTTTGCACAGGAAAGCTTTTTGCCAGGGAGATCCACCAGAGTGTGCAAGGGGTGTGGTGAAAGAGCCCCACTGGTTCTGCAGGGGCTAGATAATGGGACTCGAGAGGTATCCGGAACCTGCGAATAGGGCCAGGACTACACGATAAACTTATGCCAGTGACTTCAGTCCCTTTGCTACTACCCCCGAGCTTCAGTAATGGCCCAGTTTCCGTGCAGAGTTCAAGGCGCTGCTGTGCTTGCAGTTCCAGGCCATACACTACTCAAGGCATCAGTAGCTTGCAGTAGCTCTACCTCCTGAAGGGAGAATGAGAAGGGGATTCTGCAAAGTGGCTCTTGTTAAATCCAGAGAGGCTCTTTATAAGGAAAAGAGAATCCAAGGGAGAAAATTCTTCCTAACCCAGCAAACATCTGTCTGTTTGCCTGGTCTGTGCCCAAATCCCCCAAGATGGTTTCTCTGCCTGTTTAGGTTGGGTAAGAAATGTGAATGTTGTTCCCTGACTGGGACTTCCTGAAGCAGCTTTTTAATGGCTAAGTCTCAAAGCCAGTGGAAATGCTGACACTTCATTAGCTATTGCAGCAGCCTGAACGTGCCTGTGCAATCGCTGGCCCTTATTCAAAAGGGCTGTTTTCGGCCAACAAGCGGACATCAATCCAGCCTCACACCTTGCTGCAGCCTGAGTTGCTGAGTCAGAGGTACTGAGATGAAACAAACACATTGAATAAAATGCCTATTGTGCCTTGAATCCCAACCAGGTACACAGGTATTGAATGCAAGCCCTGTGCTGTCATGGCAGTAAAACTGAAGTGGAGTTCAAGACATTGAACCAGATCTTCCAAGCAAAATTCTCTTCTCTCTCCAGTCTGCTCCTCCAAACTCATGTTGTCTCTCAAGGCAGCCTTGCAGCTGCAAGTGGCTTCAGTGGAGTGCTGG